GTCTGGAAAGTAGATCACTTTCAATTTTGTGCTGTTTTAGTTTTGTTTATTTTAAAAGGTAATTGAAGAGATGAAGACACTTTTCTCATAGATGATGCATAACAAATTATTGCTCCCTTTTTTAGAGCTCCAGTCCCTTAAGTCTATTTATTTTAGTTCTTCTTAAATTGTTGGTAGGTATTATTCACTTCATTTGTATGTTTTTAGTTAATTTAAATAATCTTGTGTAATTGAAATACCTTTACAACAGAGGTACTTTCCTAAAACTGGCAGAAATTTGAAACTGAATTCAGTTCTTAGAGAAAATCTCCAGTAAAAAATGTCTGCATGCAGAATAACAGTAGCATAGATTAACAAAGCTGACAAAAGAGTTGGGCAAACCTTTGTCTAGCTTTTTTAATATTTCAGGACAATAGTGTTAACAGCAGACTACAACAAAAACATCCAAAGTTTAGTAATCAAGCAAAATATTCCGGTATCTATATTTTTATTCAAAACTTTTGTGCTTCTACTCCAATACTAACCATATAGAAGCATATGCATTTTATAGTATTTGCAAGATTCGGATCAAATGTACCCACAATTTATAAAGATTATTAAAATAAAACATTTCAAATAACACCTGCTTTTATGTTAAATATGTTTTTATTAAATACATAAATTAGTCTCAACCACACATTTTTTTTTGTTTTTACTTCTAGTGTAAATGTGACTACTATTTAACTCTTAATTAAATCAAGGAATTACATTTTCATATTCAACTTATGTATTCTTATTAGAACTTGGTCACTTTTTTTTACTTTGAATCTTTTGACTGTGGTAACAGTCCATTCACCAAACCACAAAGTCACTTAAAAATGTTGAAAGAGAATGTCATAAAGGTAAAATTCCTTCTTCTACCATGTTTTTCATGCAATTTTAGGTTGTAAACGTTATGTCCAACACCTTTTTTACAATTTATCCCAAGCAACACTATGAAAGATTTAAATCCTGGATTTACAGCATTCAGTTTTGAGATGAGTGCAATCACAATGTAGTTTAAAAGATAATTTTCACATGAACACTTATTTACCACAGCACAAACGCATGTACCTATTCATGTAACATTAAAATAAAGTGGGGGACCCGGTAAAGGATCCTGAGGTGCGAAATTGACAAAAAAATGTTTAACACTCAAAAGTAACTAGTTTCTATAGTAAATTTTTGAAAAAAAATTTATGGATGAAGCAGTATTTTTCGAAAAAAATTGAATTAAAAATCCCAATTTTACAGGTTATAATCACAAAACAATTAGGCATTCCAACGACCTGTCAAACAATAGGTGCCAGTGGGAAATTCTTGTATATTTAAGGGGGTAGAGACATAGTCTTGCAACTTGGACGCTATTTTTATTCGAAGTAGTACTCGCCAAGCCTGCCAATTTATGAAGAAATGTATAGGTGGGTTTTTTAAATATTATTTTTATTGTGTTTGACATAAAATATTTAAATGTAATCCATTATTCATGATTTTACGTAAAGTAGATAGAATACACCATATGTCGCCACCCTTAGATATACCAAACCTGCCCACTGGTAATTCATTTGTTTGGAATGCCTAATTAGGCATTCCAACGACCTGTCAAACAATAGGTGCCAGTGGGAAATTCTTGTATATCTAAGGGGGGAGCGACATAGTCTTGCAACTTGGACGCTATTTTTATTTGAAGTAGTACTCGCCAAGCCTGCCAATTTATGAAGAAATGTATAGGTGGGTTTTTTTAAATATTATTTTTATTGTGTTCGACATAAAATATTTAAATGTAATCCATTATTCATGATTTTACGTAAAGTAGATAGAATACACCATATGTCGCCACCCTTAGATATACCAAACCTGCCCACTGGTAATTCATTTGTTTGGAATGCCTAATTACTCTAAATGACAGTTTCTGACGTTTCTGTCTTAAAAATAACAAACGTTGCCAAGTTGTTAATAAAATTATAAGTTTAAGGATTATTTAAATTTATAATCATAAATTTTTCGTTTGGTTTAAAAAGATAAGTACGGTAATAATCGTAAATAAAATGCAAAAATTAATATATCAACCAAATTAATTTTAAAAATGCAGCTCAAAAAAACTACATACAAAATTAAAAAGTGAATTTAATTAAATCACTCAACATGTAATACCTAGACAACTTTTTTTTTAAATTTTCTTTCACTCAAAACGAAACAACGACTTCCGCTAGCGTGGCGGCTTCGCCGCCACCAAAAAATTTTAATCCATACCTGGCTACGCCTACCGGCATAGATTCCAACGGCCTGGACACAGCTCAAATTGAAATGAAAAGTCTCACATAACACATTATAATCAAAAATCATACATTTTTCGTTTGGTTCAAAAAGATAAGTACGGTAATAATCGTATATAAAATGAAAAAATTAATATATCAACCAAATTAATTTTAAAAATACAGCTCAAAAAAACTACATACAAAATTAAAAAATTAAATTAATTAAATCACTTAACATGTAATACCTAGACAACTTTTTTTAAATTTTCTGTCACTCAAAACGGAAAAACGACTTCTCGTAGGGTGGCGGCTGCGCCGTCACCAAAAAATTTTAATCCATACCTGGCTACGCCTACCGGCATAGAGTCCAACGGCCTGGACACAGCTCAAATTGAAATGAAAAGTCTCACATAACACATTATATTTTCACCTATAAATTATTTTCTTCTCATTCAAACAGAAATCTTAAACTTGGAAATTATCAGTGATAAAAATCAACAATATAGTATGGCAACGTTGCAAACTCGAGGACCTTATGTGTCAAGAACTGACAATTTCATGAATCACTTTATTTTAGGTTTTATGGAAGGAAATGATGAAAAGTTAGGTTAAATCAGTCAAAATATTGCATTTTATTATAATATAAATAAAAATAGCAAATGAAACGTATTATTCCATATTTAATTTCAGTTAAAATATTATAAAAAGTAAGTTACTTCAATATATTAATGCTAAAATTATGAAATTCGCACCTCAGGATCCTTTACCAGAACCTAAAGTGGAAACAAATTGCATAATTTGGTATATAAAAAAGTACAAAATGTTTTTAGTTTTAATTCGACATTGGACTACGAGGAAAACAGTGGTTCATTCCACTTGTACCATATTGACATTATTATGCACGATGCTCGTTCAAACGAACGTCAGAAAAGTGTTGCCAACTTAAGCTGACTACTATTTCCCCCCTAGCCTCAGTCACCCCCTCATCCATTTACTGGGTCTATGTCGCGACCCCCTTAGATATACCAGCCCTGATTGTAACATACTATTTCATAATACACAAATATCTATTTTCTAATTTTGACATGACATTTTTTGTAATTGCACCAAGTGTCAAAATGATCAACTTTACGCAACCAGTTGTATACTGTTAACATTATAAAATTGGTAACGAAAAAATCCGTATGTCACCAGTTGCGAAAAGAAAACAAATAAAAATAAACCTTTTTTTGGTTTTATAATCAATATACACATTTTTATTGAAAATATATATCAAATACCTAGTAATAATGTTATTTTAGTCCTTATTTTTCATTCTAAATTAGTACAAAATAATTAAAACAATACATGAAAAAATAACCCACTTTTTGAAAACTAAATAACTTTAATAAGCAATATAAACAAACTGCAAAAGTCTTTGAGAATAAATAATTAATATAATGTTCTATTTGTCAATAAAATGATACATGTGCAACTAACAATACAAGAGAGTAATATTGGTTGCCTAGATGTCAGTAATGTTTTACCAAAACACATTTTTATAAATATTCTTTCAGGACCTCGCTCTGCTTGTCCTGTAAATATTCACTCGTTACATAAAATGAAGCATTTCGTAATTAGTTGCATAAATAGCTAATTTATTGACACTATTTATTATTTCTATTATCCTATAGTTTTCCATGACATGATCTAGTCGGTAAAATAGAAAATAATTTAATATTATGTTTCTTTAATAATCGAACCCTAAAAGAAAATCAGATTATATGGTTAGTCTACCTACAAATATACACCAAAAATAACCCTAACTAAAGACCTACATTTAATACCCCTAGACACACCATCCCGTATACTGACGGTAAAATGACATCATCCGCTTTACCCCCACCACTCGAACAACACGTGGTTCTATTAGTATTGACAAATGAAATATGCGTCAACCGAATACCACATTTTATAAATTAAACAAAATTACTTGAAGAAACCCAAAAAACAACTCACCCTGCTTTCTGACAGGCATTTTAACCCTCACTGCACCACTTTTAGCTGTCAAAAAATCACCTAAAGGACACAAAACTAGGGTATCTGTAACCGATCACCGCAATTCGTACACTTATCCTAAAAAATTTGAGCAAACACTGAGGATAACACGAGGACGAAACGTCGTAACAACGAGATATATATTTTAAGTAACCGTTTGGATATTATAAATTATTTTTTAGAGCGCTGGTATTGCCCCCGTAGCCTTTTGGCACAAACTGAAGACGTAAAGCGTCGCGACGACCTTATGATTTTCATGACGGTAGTATTAGTAGTGACATCTTCAAATAGATTTGTTAACTACTCTTATAAAATTAAAGTTTAATGTAATGTCCGCCGTTGACAGGTATATTTAATCCTAAATTGAATTTCATAAATTTTTAAAAATCATCAAACTATTATTAGCAAAGAATTTAATAATTCTAATAAGTAATAAAATTCGCAAGGCTCGATAAAGAAAAAAATCCAATTACTGATAGTTCTTCTATGTTGATAATAGAGGTCGCCACCAGTAGTATCAATATCAATTGAAAATATTGAGATTAAACAAAAAAACTACCTATAATTTATGTTTTAACTTTTTTTTTAATATAAATTAATGATTTTTAATTTTCTGGACCTTTTATAACTTTGGAGTCAAATGTTCTTGTAAAGTAAAAAAGTTTTTGACATTTTTGACGTTTACTACTTTTCTTCTAGGTTATGTTATTATTTTATTTTGGTAAAGCAAAACAATGCTCACGTTAACACATTCCAGGAGATAAAACCAATAATAAATTAAAAATGGAAACATTAAATGAATCTGTTATGAACTTGGCAAACAGCATTATAGGTGCAAGTGTATTAGCAATGCCGTATTGCTTCAAACAATGTGGAATAATACTATCAGTAATTCTCCTTCTACTTAGTAGTATAGTATCAAGACTTACCTGCCATTTTTTACTAAAATCTGCAATTTTATCTAGAAGAAAAACATTTGAGCTTCTTGCTTTTCATCTATTTGGAGGACTTGGAAAATTAGTTGTAGAAATTGGTATGATTGGATTTTTATTGGGAACATGTATCACATATTTTGTTGTAATGGGAGACTTAGGACCTGTTATTATCGCAGAAATAACTAAAGCTCATATTACTAGTACAATGCATACTAGTATATTGATATCTTTAGCACTTTTCATAATCCTACCGCTTGGTTTACTCAGAAATGTACATAGTTTAACTGGAGTCTCAAAAGCTACAATGATTTTTTATTGTTGTCTAATTTTGAAAGTAATTATAGAAGCAGTTCCACACCTGTTTGAAGAAAACTGGTATAATAAAGTAAATCTGTGGAGACCTGAAGGTTTGTTACAATGCATACCAATATTTTCTATGGCTCTCTTTTGCCAAACTCAACTTTTTGAAATCTATGAAGTTGTACCAAATCCTACATTAGACAAAATGAATAGTGTAATAAAAGCAGCTGTAAACTTCTGTACTACTGTATATATTTGTGTTGGAATTTTTGGATATGTCGCTTTTGCTAACAAGAATTTTACTGGGAATGTTTTATTAAGTTTCGAACCTTCATTTGTGTCTCACATATTAAAAGTAGGATTTATATTTTCTGTAGCTTTCAGTTTTCCTTTGGTTATTTTCCCATGCAGAGCTAGTTTATATTCTTTATTGTATAGAGAGGGATATACCATTCACGAAGGAAATTTAAAATACATACCTGAAGGTAAATTTAAAGCTCTAACATTTATAATAGTTTTTGTATCATTAGTTATAGCCATTTTAATTCCAAATATTGAACTTGTACTTGGTCTGGTAGGCTCAACCATAGGAATTATGATCTGTGTGCTATTCCCTGTAACATGTTTCATCTGCATATCCCACAAAAATACCAATGAAAGAATTGTAGCACAAATAATGCTGGCTCTAGGTATTTTTGTTATGGTAGTGGGTACTTACAAGAATATTCAAAAAGTAGACAATGTAGAAGCTTCAGTTGTGACTGCTAGGACATTAAATAATGCAGAACAAAATCAGGATAAATTTGATACTTTAATGAACAAATTACCATTGACCGAAAAACTTGAAATTAGGACAGAATTACCTATAATTGTACTGACTGAAACTAATAATCTTAAAGAAATTAGGCATGAGCCACCTCAGCCTGTGGAACCAATAGAAGAGACTAAAAAAGTTGATGAGCCTATAATTATGAAAAAAGTGAAAACAAAAGAAACGCTTCAAAAAGTGGATGAAATAGATATTCTCCAAAAAGTTGATAAAGTAGATACACTTCAAAAAGTGGATAAAATAGATACTGTTCAGAAAGTGGTTGTGCAAAAAGAAAATATGATAAATGATACAGTAGATATTGAAGCTATCAAAAAAGAAGACAAAGAAGAACAACTAGAAAGAAAGGAAATAGCTAAAGAAGAACAATCTGATGAACATAAACAGTTAATAGATACAATACAGAAACAGAATGAAGTACAAAAAGAAATTGTGGAACAACAAAAGCAATTGTTAGAAGTAATTAAACAGCAGCAACAAAAGAAAGAAGAAGACCAGAAGATTGACGAAGTTAAGAAAGAAAAAATGAAGGCTGTCAAGGAAATCGAAAGCATAGCCCTAAAGGCTATTGAAAAAATCAGTGAAGGGGAAGACAGCAAAAAAGTTGTAGATGATTTAAAGAAAGGTATTTAAAAATATTTTTAAATCAGTTACTTATTATTTATGTACCTCTCTTAAGTTGACAGAACCAAATGGGCAGAAGTGATTCAGATCTATTGCATTGTTAGTACTTATTTTGTACTAATTTGTACCACCAATAAAAAAGTTGTATCATGTTCCATTAAAAAAAAATGTGGTGCTGTTAGCTTAATATTACGCTAACAGGACCACATTAAAAAAAAAAACGTAAAACAAGGGTAGAATTATTGAAAAGGACGCAATTTGTACTAATTTGTAAAAGAGATTAATGAAGGTAGGGGAGAGGGTGGAGGGTTTGAACACTTTTCGGTCTTTTGTATATAACTTTTTATTTAAACACATTTTAGTAGGTCGTTGTGTGTTAAGCCATACAGTGTTCCTTAATATACATATATTTTCTATTAAACCAGGGTTAACTTTTATAAAAAAATTTAAAATAATTATCTAAACAACCCCGTTAAATTTATTCAAATCCTCCCTTGGCTGGTGTGCCTTTTGAACAGAAAAGGGGAGGGTTTGAACACGTCCAGAATGAGCTCTAAAATAAAAAAAAAATTAGCAGGAAAGGCCAAATATATTTATTTACTTAAGGTAAATAACATTTAGGCATATTTTATCTTAAATCAAATTTATCAAAACACACATCATTAAATCTGAATATTTTTGTAGCTCGCAATGTGCCACCAGTGATTAAGGGTTGAGGTAACTTTAAAATAATGTCTGACAAAGAAATAAGAGACACGTCGTCCTATTTCAGGAAAAGATATTGTCTCCTGTTTTTATGAGAAATTTAACATTCAAATCATCTTCTAATCTGTCTTCTAATTCAGCCACATAATGAACTATACTTTTTTTGTATTAAACTTCACTAGAACAAAATTGTTTACTATAATAGTTTTTAAGCTTGCCCTATCTAATTTTTCGGAATTTTCCAAATCTTCTTGATCATCATTATCAGTGCTGCTATCATATTATCCTCTTCTGCACTACTACTGTTGCTCTGCAGAACTTTTCTCTTAACAACTTTTTTTATCATTTTCCTTAATTTTCTTTTCTAATAAAGAAATTACTTCATTCTCTAGCTACTACCTTTTATTATGAGGTTTTTTTTAACGATCCCATTTTTTTTTTTGTTTTTCGCTAATTGTTTCATAATTTTTTTACAATTCGCATAGTCTCCTCCATATTTGTGAATAACGGATTCGTGTTATACTTAAAAGTATAATCTTTTTCTTTGTCTTTGTTCTTTATTCTGTAATATAAAGCTGTGTGTTTTACATTGTTTTGTTCAGCAACAACTTGCAAAGAAATCTTTCTATCGACCACATCAGTTATTGCCTTCTGCATGTCCGCTTCATTAAATTAGACTCCCTTGTCCTTTTACTTGTACACTCGGGGCATATTGAGGTTTTACCACTGAAATAAATAAATTTAAGTGTCAATTCAAAATATTATTTCCTAATGGGGATGTTTTGAACAGACTGGGTAGGCTTTGAACATCGTTCAAAGTCTCCCCGGGCTTGTAGTTCAAAACCTCCCAATGGCACTTTTTCTCAGAAAAAATTTAATTACATTTTATGCTTATGAATATTTAAATATAACTGTTTTGTAAACTTACCTCAAAAATATAGGAATATGCTCAAACAATAGAACAATTAAAAATCATTGACAGATTTAAAAATATATTCACCTAACAATGGCCAAACATCATCTGGTAAATTCCCGCGTACCTAATGACATGACAGGTGATGAAAACACTGTAGCCAATGCATTCCTATTTTCACAGATGACAAGAAAATATTGTAATTGTTCAAAACCTCCTCGTGTTCAAACCCTCTCCCCTAATGTGATCCTGAGCGGGTTACTTGATTTAAAACCGCAGGTCATTATTTAAAAAATTTAAATCATTTGAAAATTCAGTATCACATGAGCAAGTTAGGAAATCCTAAATTTAATAAAATAATTAGTGAATACGGTGTACCTGAAGGAAGTGATCTGGGCCCGTTACTGTTCATAATCTATATCAATGATATCCATCATGTATGCAAATCTTATTACAAGCAAAATCACCAAACAATCAGATTATTTCGATTTTTTCATTTAAAGTCAACGGCATATTAATTCGGTTTTCACTAAATAGAATTCAATGTAATAAACTGAAAGTCTAATCTGATTGACATTAATGATTTCACAAGTATCAAATTATTCCTTTCCATGGCACACTAATTTATCGAATAAAAAAAATCAACTTTTATTAATTTTGTTTGACCAAAATAATGAAAAAACTAAAAATGCGAATTTTGTCATGAAATTTGGTATGTGGGGTTAGAATAATATTCGGAAAAACTTTTCAAATAACTATTTTTGATATCTAACGCGAAGAAAAATATGGAAAATTGACCGTTTGTGGATTCGCAGTAGGCCGCGTTTAAAATTTAAATTTCAGTTGAGTATCTTGAAAAATGTGAACCATCACCATGTATATCTGTGCAAAATTTCAAATCTGTATTTATTTAGATAGCCAAAATATACTTGGGGTGTCTTCATCTTAAATGTGACACACTGTATATACTCCTCATAAGCAAAATGCTGAAAGATTTAAACTGGATGTCGGTAGAACAGGGTATTAAGAGATCAAATCTGATTTTTGTATGTAAAATGGTAAACAGGAAAGTGCCAAAATATTTGTGGAGCTTGCTATCTACAAGGTTTGACATGCACCGCTGAATCTTACAATCTGACTCAAATTTGAATGTAGTTTATACGGCGGAAGCATTTTTGGAAAGATCTGCATTTTGTGAAGGGTTTCGACTTTTTAATGCCTTGCTAAGTGACAAAAAAAAGTGCAATAAATTTTTTGTACTATGTGTTGGTTTCAAAAAACAATACCTGGGCGATTCTAGCTTAATATTAAACTATCAGGACCATATTAAAAAATAATAATAAAACAAAGGTATAATTTAAAAGGACTGAAAGTTTCGCTCATTAAAAAAATAAATAATAAGAAACAAAGTTATAATTAAAATTAACTGAATTTGTACCATTAAAAAAACACAATATATTCAACCAAATAGTCTGAAACAACTTTTAATTAAGTGCAAATCTGTTATACTTAAGATTAAAGTAACTTTTTACAGAAACAGAATCAATCCTAATTTTTACATAAGAAGCAACATAATATGTACTGTTAAAATATAAGGTTTGAGATTTTGTACCCTCACGTTCTCTCAGAAACTATCCCAGACTCACATTAGCTTCAAGAGTAAAGCATCCTTTTGCATGAGCAGAATGAATCGTTATTCCTTCATTAAAAGCAACATATTTGTTCCTTTAAAATATAAAGTTTCATATTTTGCATCCTCGCTGTTTCTTCGGATACTATCCCGAACTCATATTACTCTCAAGAGTAAAGAATATTTTTACATGAGCAGAATCAATTCTCACTCTTACTTTAAAAGCAACATAATTTGTATCATTAAAATATAAAGTTTCAGATTGTGTACGCTCCCTGTTTCTTCAGAAACTATCCTGAACTCCTATTAGCCTCTAGAGTAAAGTATCCTTTTACATGAGCAAAATCAATCGTCACTCTTCCATTAAAAGCAACATAATTTTTTTTAATTGTAAAAATTCAGATATTTTCAATTCTATATTTGTTTTATTATTATTTTTTTTTTAATGAGGTCCTACTAGCTTAATATTAAGTTGGCAGCACCACATTTTTTATGAAAACGACACATGGTACAAAATTTTTATTGGTGGTACAAATTTGTACTAAATAATGCAATAGATCTGATTCGATTATGCTCAGTTGGTCCTGCCAGCTTGAAACGTTATTTATGTGCCCCATCAACAATTAATTATTGATAGGTGCCTATATGTTGCTTGTTAAAAAAGTAATGTTTTATTCTCAAAATATATTTTAAATTGTACAATTATCATTCCAATAAATAAAAAATGTCTCTAAAAGATAAAAACAATAGAGCGTCGATAATCCGGACGTCAATAATCCGGACAGTTGATAATCAGGATTCTATTAAAACAAATCAAATACTTGGCCACAAAATAGCAAACTACTACTGCAGTTCAAAAATCAATAACATTGTTCTTAAGAGCTCTGACAATTTATAAACTACGGTATTCTGTAAATACATATTATGTACACTCTTTCATTTAAATACGTCATAAGTTCATATTTAATAATAGTTTTATTTATCTGCTCGATTATTTAACGACAAAAGTGAATTAATAACGGTTTTAGCAGGTTTTCTTCTGTTATGAACTCAAACGACCTTTTTTGGTTCTTTTCGAAAATCCGGACAGGGTGCGGTCACAATTAATACAGATTATCGACGTTCTACTGTAACACATTTATTACTTTTTTATACTTAAGTATATACCTAATTATTATAATTTTCAGGCATAGAAAAAAATGAATTAAAAGAGAATAAAATAGAAAGTGCACCAGAAAAACCAAAACCAAAAAATGACATTACACAAGAAGAAAACAAAAAAGCTAAAGAATTTGAAAAAAAAGTTGACAATTTGAAAATAGAGATACAGGAGTTTAGTTCACAATTAAATCAAGCAGACATTGATGTCAAAAAGAAGGAAACTGCTTCAGAAGTAAAAGAAAATAATTTACCACCCGAAAAAAATCCTATAGTTAGCAATACAAAAGATGAAATTAAAGAAAATGTGGTTGTTCTACCAAAATTAGATAATCCCAGGCCTGAAGTTGTGTTAGAAGAAAACAAAGCAACAAATTCAAACAAAAATGGATCTCTTTACCTTAAAGTAGGTAACCAAGAAGTCAAAATCTCAGATGAAAGGGATAATTCAAAATTGATACCACTACCCATAGCTATGTCGAACAATATTATATTGAAGAAAAGCGATACAAAAATAGACAATTCACCTTTGATAAAGACAGAACAGGAAAAAAATGAGCAGGTTAAAAAGATTCAAGCTGAAGAGGTGCAAGCTATGAGAAGAGAGATTTTAAGTGTGTCAAAGGAGAAATAAATAATTTTAGATAGACTTTTGAACCTAAAAACAATGTGATATACATATGCATTTGTGTTGACTGTGATTTTGTACATAAGACTAATGTAAATAAAAATGCTATTTAATATCAATGAATACATTAACTTTATTTGAATGCATAGATGGGGAATAATTAATTAACATATAAATCACCTGTCATTTAGCCCAAAGATTCTCTCGGGATCGCAGAAAAATTGATATAAATTTAAATTACACTCTGGGATTTTTCAAGTCATACCTACTCTTCGTGGGAGGCGAGTCCTCTGAAATTTTTAAGTGAAAATATGGATTGTATACCAAAAAAGCGTAAGAAACACTAATCTCTCCTACATTGTTAATATTCGCTTAGCAATGGCCACAATGTTTGAGTGAGAATACACTGATCCTCTATTATACTAATGTGTTCTCTGTTGCACACCTGGATGTTCAGGAATTTATTTTTCAACATTTTTCGCCATTTTCCAAAGTTCAATCACCTAAAAAGTCGTTTTTTATTAAATTAATGTATCCTAAACATATGTATTTAAACATGTAAATAGAAATACGTTTATATAATTTAATTCGGAGAAAATGTGGGAAACATGAGGAATTATTAGTTTTGTGAGTTTCGAGTTAATATTGCCTCGGTAGTGCAATGTATTCAAACGGTCCGTAATTAATTTACGGGCCTTTCAATGGTTTAGCGATCACGGCTTCAGATGTGAATTTTTATTGCATGGTCGTTGTAGGATTTGATGGGTGCCGTATTAGCAGTAATTTAATTTCTGTTGATACTGGCTTGTAGTACACAAATCGCAGTGTGTTACCGTTTCGATGAAGGTGGATGGATTTTCCTGGCACCGTCATCTTTTAAGTCGCCCTGGAGTAATAATACTACTCTCCCTAATTCACCCCTTTACAAGTGATTTTTTTATTATTTGCCGTGGCGCTCCGGGGAAACTTAAAGATGATTGATGGTGTTATTTGACTTACAGGTGAGGAAAGCCCCATCTACCATCATCGAAACGATAACACATGGCAATTTTTATAATAATAATAATAAAACGTCTTTATTTAACAAATGTATCTTCAACATTTGTCCCAAAAAGGCGAAGATTGGCTAGTAGTTATTCTTTAACGCTTAACCTTTTCAGTTTACAGAGAGATAAAAAAATACAATATAGAATATAAAAATCGTTTATTTAGTCAAAAAAACTATTTTTTACATGTCAATACATCTTCACATTTAAAATATAAAAAATACGTGTGGCACTCGGGGACTGCCGCGGTAAAGCTATTGCATATCATTTTTTATCAACTTATGCAATTATAATTATTTATTTATTTTATTTATGCAGTATTTTTTTTCTTTGATATTCAAGTTACACTTTTTGAGCGTGGTGACCGATAAGAAAACAATTTTTTTTCTTTTATTGAATAAATGAGAAGTTAATATTGTTTAAAATATTTTTATTATCTTACAATACATGTAGGTTATTCAGGAATTTTTAACATTGAAACTATTGGTTTATGGTAACTGAAATAAGAAACATAAGTTTGAGACTTGATTTGATATCTGGAAAATACCACGTCAATGGTGGTCTTATATTTTGTTGTGGATTCTTGTGGATCATTATTCATTTTCAAATTCAATTTTTCCGAAATTGTGTCTAAAAGAGATAGAATCAGTTATGAGCAGTTAGCAGCTATTCTACAGGCATACGTCTAGTCGCACGCACACAAAAACCGTGCCGAAGTCTGCCGAACTGAAACGACGTTAGACGATGCACGGCTTTCAACGCCGCACCGCTGTGCCGGTCGGAGTGGGGGGTGTTAGGATTATTTTCGTTACGGAATTTCTTGATTCGGTCGCCGCGCTCAAAGCCCGCGATAAAAGCTATGCAATAGCTTAAAAATACATAAGTAATATCAACATATTTAAAATACAATAAAAAAATACATAAGATACAGTACACTTACATGTCAACTATACAAAACATAATAAAAGAACAAGGAAAAAAAATGTCAATTGGTCTGCAAGTACTCACGCAGTTTTCTTTTAAATATTGTTGCGTTTGAAGAACATTTAATATCTTCAGGAAAATTATTAAAAGCCTGTACCTACACCTTTAAAAATACTGAATTTTGTGTACATTTTTTCGTGGCCTTATAAACTCTAAAATTTTTCTTATTTCGTGTATTGTGTTGGGAAGATTCCTGATTTATTCTTAAATAGCAGGGATTAGAATAGCAAATATTTTTTAACAGGCAACCACTGAAGCACATTCAACATGGAATTGATTGGTACCAATCTCGAACAGCTCAGTATTATCCTCATACCTCTATTCTGCAATAAAAAAATAAAAAATACAATATGGAATTAAATTTAACCTATTAGATTATAAAAAAACAAAAACTAGGAGGAAAAAAACAAGATTTAAAATTGTCGAACTAGTAATATATGTTTATATATAGTAATAAAGCAATAGTAATAATGTTTTTTATAATCTGGATGTCATATCAACAGAAATTAAATTTCTGCTAATACGGCATCCATGCAAATAAATTCACATGGTCTTCTGTAGGATTCGAAGTCGGTGTGTCTATTACCACAAAATTGCTCGCAAATGAATGTGAGCGCGTTAGACACCTACTCCACCGATCCGATAGTGCCACTGCAAATAATAACCGCTCCTTCCTCGCACCAGCACAGTAGGCTTCAGGGGTTAAAATCCACTCATAAGAGTGTGAATTATATGCTTAGTATTATATTATATTGTTTATTATTCAACGATGTACACCTGCGAGGTAACTAGCTCCAGTTTCCTGAAAATTTTGTCACAATTACTTTCATCACAAAATTATTTTAGAATTGAAGAAAAACCAAGAACACTTACAATTTTGAGATATTCTTTTAGAAACGACAATTTGCAATATGTACCTATATTTTTTCCACCCTCCCTCAATGTCCTCAACCACTAAGGCTCAAAATTATAAATGCCATAATATATATTTTGGAATATGGATTATATACCTATACTTAGGGCATTTTTTTGTGTGAATAAATCTTGAAAAATGTTTCATGTAGGTAACCTATTACTCTTTTTAGGTAACAGGATGACGATGACAAAAATAAAAAAAAACTGATTTGTCCAATACGTGACTTTCCCGTCTAGTTATTATTATTACACGCTTTTTCCGGTTATTTTGTACAACCTATTGTATCACCCCTGTAAATTGTTGGAGGATCAACTAAATATAAACATTTTCCACGCAACATTTTTTTATACAGTATGTCCCTCTGAGTTGGAATCGTATGGAAAACTTTTTTATTAATTTTAGGATTCTTCATAAAAAGTTCTGCATTATCTAAAACCTAGAATACAGTCATCAAATATCAAATTTTTTCAGTGGTATACGAGGTTTGTCAAAAAATATGAGTTTTACTCAAGAGTAAAAGTATCTTTATTCTTTATACGACTGATAAAATTTGATATCTGATGGTCGTATTTTAGGTTTTAGACCATTCTCGACTTTTTATAAAGAATAACTTTTTTCCCAATATTAATAATAAAAAAGATTTTCATATTCCGCCAATTTACGTAGACAATTATAATAATATTAGAAGTAAATTTTATTTAAACAATTTTCTTCTCCAAACATAAATAACATATATTACATAAAATATAAAAACGGCCTCCCATAAAGTACCCCCCAGATGTTCCGACTTTGTCCAAAATCTAATTCACGTCAGGCCGAAATAAAACTTAAGTTTAAAATTTAATGTTTTTGCTTTATCCGTTTTTGAGTTTTCTTCAAAATTCGAAATTTACACATTTTCTCAAATATCTCGAATACGGTCCATTTTAGATAAATTATGTATAGGATAAAAATTATAGAGAATTATATTACAAACAACTTTTATTTGAACCATTTTTATAAAAAATTATTTTTTTTACATTTTGTAAAATTTCTCGAATTCGGACCATTTTAGGAAAATTTTGTATAAAACAAAATATATTGATAATAATATTGTAAGTAACTTTTATTTGAAGAATTTTCTTCTCTAAACATATAAATAACAGATATATTCCATAAAATATAAAAATGACCACCCATAAAGTACCCCCCCAGATGTTCCGACTCTGTCCAAAATCTAATCAGTTCATTGGACGCCGGAATAAAGATTAAGTTTAAAATTTGGTGTTTTTCTTTGTATCCGTTCATGAGTTATGGTGGATAAAGACACACAAAGACGTCATCGCGAAAATAGTCGAAACGGATTCAGGGGACCCCAAAGCGTAAAAATCCGTCGAAAACTGGAGGTCGAAAAAATCATGATTCCTATACTTTCCTTATCTGTATACAGATAGGAAAGTAAAAACAAGATTACTATACTTTCTAGAGATGGGCAATATCCTGATTTTCAAGTATCAGTTATACTTGTTCCTGTGATATTTAAATATCAATGATTTTAAGTCGTGATTTCATTACAAAAGTGACAGCAAATGAGCAAAAGTTTTCTACTACATAAAAATTAAATAAGGGTAGTAGTACTAAATATTCTATCGAATCCAAAACCATCATAGTCTAATTTGTCCAATCGCAACTACTGGGTTAAATTAAAAAGAAATTATTGACAAGTTAGAAAATTTAATGAAATCTAAAAAATACAACTGTTGGAAATGATATTATTGACTTGGAAAATGGTCGTTTATCTCTTATGGCTTCGATTAGTAAAGTATTAAGCATAAAATAGCATCACCTACATATAAAAGCATAACTCCCGTTTTATAATTTTACTCGAATATTTTTTTTATGGATTCTTACTGTTTTCAGTAGTACAATTGTTGTCATGTTATGACTTCAAAGTCACGGAGAGCTTGTAACTGTGACAGAACTATATCGCCCATCCCTAATACTTTCCTTTTATCTGTGTACAGACAGGAAAGTAATAGGTTTATTCCAACAAGCGCAAAAACGATAATATTTCGGTACAAATCATGCGCTCTACACAAAAATAGTGCATGTTCTATACCGAAATATCGTTTTTGCGCTTGTTGGAACAAACCTAATAAAAACAAACTTCTTTTCTTCACTTTAGAGCATCCATATTTCTTAGTACGTGCTGTGGTACGTGCTTAGTACAGAGTCAAATTCTCATTTTTCAATAAAAATCAGCTTCCAAAAGCTTAAAAGTAGTAGGTACCTATTATAGGTAAAGTAGTTATCTACCTACCTACCTGTCTGTACATTAATTTTAAAGCACCACTACTTTGTAAACATACCTATCTTATTTGATTATTTTTACAATTTTGAATGTATAACACGTTGAAAACACATTAAGACATAATCTCTGTTCTAAACAACAAAGTAATACGCTATAATCGGTTTTTAAACTCAAATTAAAGTGAAAATGAAAACGACATATTCCTGCATCGGAATACTAATGATTCATACTTGGCGCGCTTAAAAGTCACGTGACCTGGCCTTGATCCACAACTGGACTAGCCAGAGACCCCTTTGCGGGATTGCCAGAGCGCATTAATATTACTAGATTTAAGAGATTAATAAAAATACTAATTATTGATATAAATTAACACCGAAAACCTTCGTTATTTAGATTTATTCTAAAGGAACGCACTGAAGTAATTTTATTTACAACCTGTACGTTCGGTTGCAAGAACTGTTAAATAAATAATATATCATAATTTATTAGACTATGCTTAGACTAGATTAGTCTAAGAGACTATTGCCGCGTTTGAGAATCCACATCGGATGCATTTTTTACATCTCGAGCGTTTTTTTTATCCACATGGGGCACATCTGCCCCATTACATTTACGTTTACTGAATCACGTGATCAAAGATTTACTACATCTCAGATGCATCCGATGTGGATTCTCAAACGCAGCATATGAACCTGTTATCTCTGCTATGAACTGTCTAAATGACATGACGTCTACACATCTGTCAAAATTTATTCAGGCTACTAAAATTTTAATAAATATTTTGGCAACCGACTGTTAAAATCTTAAAGTTCACAATACATAAATAGGCAAAGGGTTGAGAGACCGATCTTTTAAATTTAAAATAGTGCCAATATAGCATAAGACTGTAGATGAAGCATGGTTCTAAGGAGAGACTGAATTGAACCGAGCACGTGTATACGTGCGTGTGTGTATGTGTGTGTGTGTATGCAACAATATAATAAATAATAATTATGTGCCTTAAAACAAAACCAACTGGCTCAGACGATTTTGCATAACGTTTTTGTCGCTGCAATATCTGAAGTCTAGCAAATAATAAATTAAATTAGTCATCTGCGTAAAACAGTGATACAAAAAACTTCAGCGTGCCAGTGACGCGAGAGATACGGTGTTTAAATTATTATTTTCTATAAAAAGCGTAGGTTGAAAAATGAGTGGGATGATCTCATCACCTTCCACCGCGACCCAGATGGATCTATTGTGGCGTATGTCTAACTTATAGTTCACCGTACAAGACACACCTTTTGATGTAGGCCATGGTCGAATTGGGCTCCAGTCGGGTGAATCAAAAAATCTGGAACCTGGTTCTTTCCAAAGCTGAGCAGGTACATAAAATGTGCTCTGCAGATTCGTCTTCCACGTTGCAGCATCGACAGTCCGATGTTTGTTGCAGACCTATCCTTCTCATGTGATTACCCATACAACAATGTCCTGTCAACAGACCTGTGAAAATGTATAGATCTTTGCTACTCCATTCTCAGATCTGAACAGAGGCGTTCATGGAAGGGTTGGTTATAAACGTCTTCGAATGAGTTAGCCCTGGGGTATCTCTCCAGTTTGTAGTTGCTCCCGATTTAACTATTAGGCATTCCAAACAAAGGAACTGTCGGTCGGAGGAAAAGGTTGCGACATACGATGTATTCCATTTACAATACGTGAAATCATGAATAATGGTTTAAATTTAAATATTCTATGTCGAACACAATGAAAGTGTTATTTTGCTAATATATTTTACATAAATTGCCAAGCTTGGCGACTACTATTTCGAATAAAACTTGCGTCCAAGATGGAAGATTAATGTCGCAAACTCCTTGGATATACGAGCCCTTTCCGACTGGTAGATTGTTTGACACATCCTTGGAATGCCTTATTGTCGAGAGAAACGCAAACAAAACCTTTCAGATACTTAATTACGGACGCCTTTACTATTTCATAGTGCGTGATTGTTGTATAGGCATACTTTAATATAATTTAAATATAGTCTTATCAGAGGATTAAAATACCTTGGATGGGATGTTCTATATTTAAGTTAGATACTATATACAGAGGGTGGCTTGTTTCTACTATATTTGCTTCGTTGAAATCTTTTATAAAATTTTCTATAAAATATAGGGAGTAAAACTGCATGTTTATTAGTCTCATTAGTTGCTAAGGAGATGAGTTTAACCCATTGTCATTATATTAGTATTGCCACGTCTCAGGCAGCGGATTGGCGTCATTATGACATCTTATTTTCGTCATACCCAACGTCATTTATCCTCTTAAAACTAACGTGATAATGACGGTATAATGACGTGAATATGTCACAGCCCAAATGACGTCATATTTAGATATCCTTTTCACGTCTAAATATGACGTCTTTATGACGTTGCCCAGTAGTCTTTATAACGTCCTTATGACGTTTTTATAACGTTGGTTTAATATCACCTTTATCTTTATTTGAACGTCACCATGACGTTATATTTGATATTGTTACTACTTTGTAACTTTTCTATAGGAATTGTGGGTCACTTAATAAAACAACATTAGAAAATGAAATAATTATAATTGGTAAAAAAACATTAATTTTTATAAATCCAACTGCTCCAAATGTGACCAACTTGTACGTTATTATTTTGGCTTTGGCATAATTATGAAGACTATGGGCACAATTAATTTCTAATGGTATTTCTATGAGTGCCGACATTTCATACTATTTCACGAACCTGGGAACATTTTAGGAAACAGCCTATGAATGTAATACATACCAAATCATTAAAGAATAGGGTAAATATAGATATAAAAATACTAAAGGGCACATACCTACCTTTATGCTAGGTTGATATTAAATAATATTGATATAACTTTTTTCATTGACCTCCTCTTAACTTTTAACGACAATCCTGAATGCACACGGACCACGATGCACACACCATTACACATGGCCGATGCAGCAATCCGCGATGCCGTTCTCGTGCTTGCTCGAACGACTCGAACACACACGAGCCATACTCCACAGACCAATGACCACAGACAGACACAGTCACGTATCACGTGGTGTCATAAAATCTTTATGCATTTTAAGCTCTAGATTTAAATGTTAATAGAGTTTTAAAAAATACTTGTTTAGGCCATATCATTTTACATAAATAAAATGTATTGAAATCACGTTTAATATAAACCTTAATTTAATAGTGACAATAAATTGACGTCACACTGACGTCGAATTTGTGACGTTAAAGAAGAGACGTCATAATCACGTAATTTTTTGGTCGTCGATGACCAAGAATTACCAAAAAATGTCGTCAGTCTGTTGCCTGGGCGTGTACTGAAGGGTTACCTATAAAGGGGTACAAAAGTGTGTGACGACGTGTGGCATATGCGTTGTGTTAAAGTTGTATTACAACTGAGTCACTACAATCACTGTTTTTGTAATTATTATAGTACGACACGATTTTGTCAAAATATTTTTAGATTATAAAAATATTTAATTTATTTAAGCCTATACATTTGTATGTGTCTGAAACATAATTTTTCTTACAGAAAACATAATAAAATAGTACAACTTATAACTTATTTATAGAGTTACCAGCGAACCTACTTCATATTTTATGAACAACTGCAAACTTTTCGTCCTACACAGTTATAGTCACTATAAATATTAAATGATTTTTATTTAGATTCAAAATTATGTATATTATTAAAAAAAAATAATTTTTGCGCATTGCATAGCCGTTTGCCACAAGACATGCACAAGACTTTTACGGTAAAGTAGGAACGAGGACGTGGCAACATTGCGTCCTCCTGCTTTGCAAACTCGCCTTCATACAAAATAAAAATGGTGGTTACGGTTCTCTACGTAGGCTAAATTCGAAACGAAAATGAACAAATTCATTGCGGTTGTGATCAAAATCCCAAGAAAAGTCTGAAATATGTAGTGAAAATCGTCCTGTGTTTCCAAAAACTAGTGCTTAAATCGTACACGAAGACTCGAACTGGGCGGAATTCGTCTTCCAGATAATTTAGACCATTTGGGTTGTTTATTATGTTGCCATTGCGCGGAATAGTATACTAAATTAGTTAAATACAATTATTTCAATTAACCAGTAACTGCTGAACGCTTTGTTTGTAATAGAATTGTGGAATTTGTTGCTCCAGTGTCCCGGCCTGCGAGGTAGATGCAACATGTGACCCTGTTTGACATTTGTGCATTTATCAACCCTTGACGTGCAATTGTTTTAACGAAATATCCCATCAAACGGTCGATAAGTCTTTCCGTTATAAATTAAAAGCAACATGTGGAATAAAACTGAAAAACCCATTGGAAAGTGTGCAGGTTTGTTCACATATTTAGAATAACAAATACAAAATTATTATTTTTATTTGGGATTTCAAAAAAATATATTCCTATTGTTTTTTGAAAATAAGAAGTGACTAATAGGTACCCTCTTCGAGCAGTTTAATTTATTAAAATATTGTGTTTTTTCCTTTCATAAAATGATACATAGAACGATTCATTCATAAATAAAGTTACTTTGTGTCAATTTAGAATAAGAAAATTCATTCATACAATGGGCTTTTCCAGTAGTAATCCTGAATGTATTTTTCATCAAAAGGGAGTGACTAATATTCCATAATTCCAAGGATAATTCATTATTTTCAGATGAAATTCTCACATTTTGATGACTGAATGCATTTTTTAAGGTATCTCATGGCATATCATATTTTTAAATTGTTTAAACATTCCCAATTAAATCATTTTTATTAAGCAAACTTAACATCTTTGTTAAATTTGAATCATCTTATTTCACAACAGGTTTACACCCCTTAAAGAAAAATTGGGAGTGCCCATAGCTCTTATTTGTTGAAACTCCATTTATCTTATTTAATTGAGTATATAGGTACAAATATTTTTTTTAACACTGAATAAGTGAACATAATTTTTGTTTCATTGCTTTTAAAAATAGCTTCTGACTTGTTTATAGATAAATTATATGATGGCTACTTATTAGGCACCAGTAATCGACACTAGTAGAATGTCTTATGAAGATTTAATGTAATTTTGATACACTCGTTATCATCGCCCCCAGTTATCAATACTACAAAGACGGCATTAATAAGTCAAACTCTGGAACCCCACCATACCCTAGTCCCCAGTAATAGACAGAAAGTGTTGAACACTGGACAATAATATGTATATGCATAGGGTGAACCATCCAGTTAATGACCACTTTAGGTAACAGTGATATATACATATTTGTAAAAATTTTCGTTTTGTTTTTAAAAGAAAGAGCAAGGAATAGCTGGATGAATGTGTTTACTAATTTAACTTTTTTAACATAAAAATGTAAACATGTTTATTTGTTTAAAATATTCGATAATCTTTAAGATATAATGCATAAAATCCTAGTAAATGACCAGTTCCCTTGAGTAATTGACCAAATAAAATACCAGTAAACGACTACAAAACTTTATTGTCTAAAAGAAAACATAAATACTTAGTTTAAAAAAATTAAAGCAGTGTTCATACTTTTCCATTTCAGGAACTGAATATAAGTACATTTCCTCGACTACATATCAGCATTGGTGGTTCAATCTTTTTAATGACATCCTCTTCTTTATACCATATTTGATCATTTTTTTCTGGCCATTTTCAATTTTGTGCACACTTTTACACATGACTCGCACTTCATATTCTCCTTTTTTCATATAACAACACCTGGAAAATAACTGTTCTCATATTTTACAATCACGAAATCAGCAATGGTAAATGTAGTTGGTGGCATAGATTCATTGATTTCATTTTCATCCTGGTTTTCTTGTTCATTTTCCTCAAAAGATTCTTCATCTGAAATATTCGAATAACTTGAACTTGAAGAAGATTCTCTTCTCTTTAACTTTTTTGGTGTATTTTCTTCATTTTTGTTAAACTGTTTTCTTCCAAATGTACTCCTGTTCTGTAATTGGGTTTAACCTGTTGAACAATGTATAAATAAATAAATAATTGCACCCCAGTCTCATCAGCATTATAGACCCGATTCAGCATCTTCAAGAACATCAACAGCATCTTCTTCTATTAAATAACTTTTAAGATCCTGAAACCACTTTCTGATATCTTGCTCAGTGACGCTAGCTCTAGCTTTGGAATAATTTCAGCATTTCTTCTTCCAATATCTGGCTTTACTTTTAAAAATCCTTTTAACCATTTATCACCGGGATGGTTGTAGTTGAATGGATTAGGATGCTGGGTTTCTTCCATTACCTTTTGTACAGCATCTTTCACTTCATCTGGATGCATAGGAAACCCAATTTTTGCTTTTTGGATTATCTAATTCTCCAACATATCTTCTTCCTGAGCAGTCAAGATTCTTGGTGGGCCCATCTTTCTTACTGGGATTTTCCATGCAGTTTATTAATTAAAATGCCTTTTGGAATTTTAAATTGTTTACTGGCTTTAGTAGCACTAATTCTTCCTTCTTGGACTTCTGTCACTGCAGCTTTTAGATCTTCAATGGAATACTTAAATCTTGTATATGCTCTTTTGGGTGCTTCTGTCACCTGAAAATAAATGTTACACAATTGCTTTATTGCACAAATAATATTTTAATACATAAACACTAAAAAGTCATTGACTAGGCTAAATATATAGTGAATGACCAAAAGAGCATTTAGATAATAAGAGTGGTCATCTATAGACCTGTCGATTCCCTCATTATTTACAATGCTTGCATAAAAGAAGCGTCCATATAGTGATTAAAGTACATTATCAAAACAAATTATTTTAAAATTCCCGCCTACCCAGTATAGAGAAAGTAAAAGTTGAAAAGTCTTTTGGTAGGTAGAGAGGGGGTAAACGTCAAACCACGTCGGGCGGCTCCGAGAATTTCACAGTAATATTTACCTGCCAGTGTCGTTTCATAGAATAAGTAATTTTAAATTGTTATCGGCGGAACCGGACAATCGCATGTATTTATGGATTATAAATAATTATTAAACATGTATTATAATATTCAGATTATAATTTTACAAAATTTCAACAGCTATTCACAATTTATTATACGATTTACTCGAAATTGTTATTAACATCTATAAAATAATTTTGTACGCCAATGTATCGCGTCCACTTCGGTGAGATCCGCTGACAACCTGTCAATTTATGTGTATAAAGTGGGAGAACTGGCAAAAGCATTTTCAACTTTTACTTCTGTTCTAAATGACCACATTCGGTCATTCACTGAATTTCTCAGCTTTAGCATTACCTATTATTGACCATTTAAAAAATAAATGCTTTTTGAGGTTATATTAGTATTACAAAAATACTAAATTTGATCTTGTTTCATGCAGTTTAGTCCAAATAACATAACAGTTTTACAACTCCAATACATGTTTTTTACAAAATAAAAAACCCTTAGCTTGACTTACCTTAATTACTTGTGGTTACTTGAGAAGGAAACAAAAACACATGCACTTTTAACTGCCGTTTGTAAACTGCCGATTATGAGCAGTGTTGTCAAATGTATAAAAAAAATTGAGAATTAGGTGAGGATCAATTTGCTGTATAATATGATGCCTTAGGTTATTAAAAATTCTTAATAAATCATAAATCAGTAAATATTGGTCATTTACTGGGACGTGGTCAATAACTGGACGGTTCACCCTACCTTCTCAATTATGGATGTATTTACCTTAACAAATTTATTTAAGAAAAATTAAATTTACATGCCAGACATAACGTGCGCCATTTTTTGACACAACCAAAGCTGTAACCTTCGAGGATTTGTACAGTATTGTTAGAGGAGACATTAGACTTTCATCCTGGCAGAGAATTACGGAGAATTATGTACAAATCTGAACACCTACCATTAGAAGAGTTTGAATTTTAAAGTGTCTATTACTGCTGCACTGTCCATTACTGGTGTTCTTACTATAGTTATAATTTAGAAATTTATAAATGTTAAATACAATTTTATCATCTCCTTTAAACAAAAGTAGAAGAAAACATCTACAATTAATAATATCATAATCTTTATTTATTAGCATGTAGCCTAGCAAGGAACAAAATACATAGAATATTTAAACATATACCAACAAAAAACAAAAAGTCTTAACCTACAATACAATAGAACTTTTAATATAGTCGATAGAGGCTTTTTTAATTTTTTTTTTATTATCACAGTTTTTTACACATTCAGGTAACTCATTATATTGTTTCAGTCCTTTATAGTATAAGAAGTATTTATCTACATTAGAACTAACTTTTGATTGATAAAAATTATTTCTTGAACAAATTTGCAGTTACTAAGTAGATGATCAGGTATCAAATTATTTAGCTTTGTATATATGAATATCATGGTATTACAAATAATAGTCTGCCTTACACTTAATAAATTAGTTAAATTTATCATCAGTTCTTCTAGTATACAGGTTACAGCCCAATATAATCCGCATAGCTTTATTTTGTTTCTTTTCAAGTGTATCTAGTTGTGTAACATTCATTAAGGTATATATAGCAATATAGAGCAAAAATATAAAAGAGGAAAAATAATTTTTTTATACACTGTTAATTTAGACCATTTACTTAAATTTTTTGACATACGTCCCATGACATTAATCTTTCTTGCTATTTTACTAGTGATATACTTAAAATGTTCAGAAAATGATAAAGTAATATCTATTATACCCCCTAGATATTTAAATGCTTCTGTTATATGGAGTCTCAGTTACCAGGTACACATTACCAGATTAGAGGCTCTTCAAAGACAGTTTCTCAAATATTTAAGTTTCTGAGAAGACCCAGTGTATCCTGCAATTGGCACCCCACATAATGAACTGTTAGTAAGACATAGTTTTTCGAGTCTTGAAGCAAGGCACAAGTATTTTTCAGTGGTTACACTGCACAAAGTCATAACCAATAAAATAAATTGAAAAGATGTTAAATTTTAGGATTCTCTGCCAAACTTCTAGGTGCAATGATACTTTTTACTCACTCCTCGCACTAACATTTTAAGCAAATCTCCATTATATGTCTTGTGTAGTAATTGCAACAGCATTAGCTCTGAGTTGGATATATTTAACAGAATTTTGGACATAAAACATTTGCTTTTGTGATTATTTTATCATTTTAAATAGTCTGTTTTTTCTCTTTCTTAAATCTTTATTCTTTTGTTTTCTAATTTTTTACATTGTATTTTTCTGAGATATTTTTTTTGTCATATTTTGCCTGTTCTTTAATTGGGAATTTCCTGTAGAACAATTTGTAAAATAAATAAATAAATTGAGACACTCTCTCGATGGTATTATTATCAATTTTTACAATACTATTGGGAACAAAATCTA